CTTCTTCGGACGCATCATCCGCCATTGCTGTTCAAATTACGTTAATGCGCTCAATGGCGACGCGCACAACCTTCACCAAGGCCCAGGATCCGCGTAATTGCGGGTGGCTGGCTAAGGGCCGGCGGCTCCGCACATTGTAAAAGATTATCGCTTCGGGCTGAGCTAACATCAGCTGGGTTAGCTCCTCGTGCTCCTTCAGCCTCCGGTTGAAGTAAGCGGTGAGTGCTGGCGAAATAACTCGCGCTCCTCAGCTAGCTGCTGTTCGAAGACGGCCCGCATTTCGGGAGTGAGTACTAATCTTTCTGCGCCCGCAGCGCCAATTTCCATAGCCGACATTCGATTCTGGTAACGCTAGAAAAAGACGGTGCAACACAAAACTAGAGGACACTGTCCCAGCAGCGGGACACGCCTCTTGGTAATAGTCAAAACAACGGCAGTTAAAGAACCAATGCGCCTGTGGGACCCAAGTAAGGAGCTCGGCGTCCCCTGCCGTACTGTGGTCCGGCATATGCATGCATGCATGCGCCCTACTTCCACGCACCACGGCAGTTCCTTCGCAATAACTTGCCTATCTCTACACTCATACTTCGCTTCGAGAAGTCGAAGCTTTTGAACTACCATAAATACTGCCCCATATACCGTAGTGCTACTTATAGTTCGTGATCGCTTTGTTTGGGGAGGGATAAAAAACTTTCTGAAATTTGTACGTGCTCTTTGAATTTCGGGGAAGGCCGGACCAGATTTTGCGGGCATGATACAAATTTCGGGGCCCCTTCCAAAGTTTCGGCGCTTTTCAAACTGCAGCTTCCAATCAGTCTCCCTCCACCGGGAACCCTTAGGCTCATGGTCTCTCACCATTTTCGCACTTTGGAAACGCCCTAGCAAATTCTGGACCGATTGTACAGTTCAGTACCAGTGGCAACGACCTAATAACCAACTATATTTTATCAAACTTCGCTTGATCGACCGGCTTCGGAGGGTAAGATATTTCGGGGCTGCGATCCCTTGGGATTCCTTAGAATTTGTACGTGCTACATATTCGTGGTGCCTCCCGAATTATTGTAGCACGAACTATAAGTAGCACTACGGTAGTAGTGCGATAATACGGATACGGATGTCTCCGTTCTTCATTAATATTTGTTGTAAGCTTTGAAAACCAATTACGATCAGTTGCTTCACCATAAATTTCCGCAAAAACTCCAATTTTCTTCTTCATGTTTTAATTAACCTTTTGGGCAACACCTGGGGTTGACAGTGTTGGATGGTGACTGTTCAGTGTGGTGGAGGATGACCGGATTGGTTGCTTGGCTGACTGTTACATGTTATACATAGAACACTGTAAATCGTTCTCGGGAAGTGCTATTGTATAAATCTTGGTGATGTTCATTTAGAGAAGAGAAGCAACCTGAGCACGATTGTTACACTTGATTAACAGGCCAGAAAAACCCAACTCAAATTGCCTGTCATATATCAGGCAGTTGTAGGTACCCTCCACCGCAGCAGCTCTGCCTTGATCAGCCATCACCTGCATGCGAGTGGGCAAAAGTCAAGTGTTTAGATGAATGGACATACTTAGGGTGTTCCAGTTGCTTAGGGATGATGACATAACATACCACCCCATGATGTGACTTGCCTTCACTCGATGGCCACTGCATTCGGGGGGTCAGGCTTCTCAGCACCCAGGTGCTCCAGCAACAGGTAGCGCCGGGCCTTCGCATTCATCCTCATTTCTGAGGCATGCTGGCCCAAGCCATAATGATTCAACAGCAAGTTTACTTGCTGCACGACCATATCGTTTATAGCATGCTTGGAAACAGGTGCCTGTGCAGGCATCACACCGTGCTCATTGTACAGCCACTGCAGTGGCAGGCTCTTGGAGACCTTGGCGTTGTGCCGCCGTGCCAATGTGTTGGATAGACGGTGGAAGTTGATCGTCAGCCCCACAACATCCGTCTTCAGCCCCGCAATATCGGCCTTCAGCCCTGCAACGTCTAATTGCACCTGCTGCTGGTGCTGCTGCAACTGTTGCTGGTGCTGCTGCAACTGTTGCTGGTGCTGCTGCATCTGCTGCTGGTGCTGCTGCATCTGCTGCTGGTGCTGCTGCACCTGCTGCTGGTGCTGCTCCGTGTGCTGCTGCAACTGTTGCTGCACCTGCTGCCGCACCTGCTCCTGGTGCTGCTGCGCCTGCTGCTGGTGCTGCTGCACCTGCTGCTGGTGCTGCTGCACCTGCTGCCGCACCTGCTCCTGGTGCTGCTGCGCCTGCTGCACCTGCTGCTGGTGCTGCTGCAACTGTTGCTGGTGCTGCTGCACCTGCTGCTGGTGCTGCTGCATCTGCTGCTGGTGCTGCTGCATCTGCTGCTGGTGCTGCTGCACCTGCTGCTGGTGCTGCTCCTTGTGCTGCTGCAACTGTTGCTGCACCTGCTGCTGCAGCTGCTGCATCTGCTGCTGCCTGTTGCTGCACTTGCTGCTGGTGCTGCTCCTTGTGCTGCTGCAACTGTTGCTGCACCTGCTGCCGCAACTCCTCCTTGTGCTGCTGCAACTGTTGCTGCACCTGCTGCTGCTACTGCTCCTTCTGCTGCTGCACCTGCTGTCGCAACTCCTCCTTGTTCTGCTGCAACTGTTGCTGCACCTGCTGCCGCAACTCCTCCTTGTGCTGCTGCAACTGTTGCTGCACCTGCTGCCGCAACTCCTCCTTGTTCAGCTGCAACTGTTGCTGCACCTGCTGCCGCAACTCCTCCTTGTTCTGCTGCAACTGTTGCTGCACCTGCTGCCGCAACTGTTCCTGGTGCTGCTGCATCTGGTGCTGGCTCTGCTGCATCTGGTGCTGGCTCTGCTGCATCTGCTGCAAGGTTTGGAGGATCTGGTCCTGGATCTGGTGCGGGATGCCCCCCCCAGGTGCCAAAAACACTGGAACTGCTTGCTGAACCGCGTGCATGGCCTGCGATATCGTTTGGTGAGCATGAACAAGTTGCCCTAGGGAAGCGGTCAACACTTCGGCCATAACTTATAATGGCCTTTTTAACCTGGCGTCGTATAAGCTCACAGGCTTCCTCGCAGACTTTCTGTGCAGCAATATAATATTGTTTTTCATTTCTCGCCTCGATACCTTGATATCCAGTTTAGCAACGAGCTGGCTCCGGAACCAATGCGACGAATTGGCGGCCTCGCCTAAATCGAGCATACCTTCGGCATAAGTCCACCCCGCGCCAACCGACTTCCGCGCAATCTTTTCCAAAAAGCACTCTTCATGCATGCACGGTATCTTCTTCAGCCGCGCGCGTGCGCATGCCAAGATCCCCATTGAGCAACAAGACTGCACCCAAGCACAGGTAAGAGTGGAGGCGAGGAGAGAAAACTTCTCAAGGGTCTTACAAGTGATGCTTTTGAGCTTTCACAATTTATGCCTTCAAGCAAGCGTGAGATGGTGTTTCGCTTACCGTTACGTGATTTGTGTTAATTCCGGTTTCGTTTCGCCATTCCCTTTTGCCATAAACAACTAGGCTCCGGCACAGCGGCAGTGGCGGCAGCAACGCGGGCTGGACAGGGCTGGAGCGTGATGGGGGACGCTGTAGGCAGCCAGATGCCAAGTCTTCAGGGGAACCCATCTGTACTTGTTTCGCTATCCCTCACCACCACCAGTACCGTATCGCACATCTGTATATGCGTCGACCTGTATGTGAAAATGATGGGGTTCTCTGAGGCTTTCTCACGCCGCTGCTGCTGCAGCTCCTGCCATCGCTCCTATTGCTGCTGCCGGGGATCCTTTCGAAGCTCACATGTGTGGCCCTGCTTGTTTTTGGTTGTTTTTGAAGGTACTGGGCTACGAGAATCGTGCCCTGGCCTCCCTGCTATCGCGCATTGTGGGCCTGGATGTGGGGCCGAGAAGGCGGCGGGGCAGCGGGTCGACTGGGGGAGGCGGCCGCTGCCACTGGCCATGCTTATCACGTCCTTTTGAAAAGAAACCTGAGTTTGTGTAGGCCAGAATCCTCGGCCGGGACCACGTAACAAGTTAGAAAGCAGCCGTTGCACTCAATCAGCCGTAACTAAATCAACTGTTGCAACGTGCCGGGGGCCCGATTGCATTCGGATCCTTGTTTGGAACATGCATGCTTTCTCATCGGACAGATTTGACCCGATGAAGGCTGAGCGAGGTCTGCTTAACCATGACGTGATCATCTTGACTGAGACAAAGGCGCCTGTTGATTAGTAACACGCCAGGGAGCAACTGGTATTACATGGCTATACCCATTTCGCATGCACGAGGGCTCCACGCACGGGTTCTCGAAGATTGGGCGGTGTATCTGTGTTTGTTCGGAGTGAGATGACTTCCCATGTGCGAGAAGTATTTGCATTACTGGTGAGCTCGACAGGCTGCGGTGTGCGGGCGATGAGGTGCTATTTGCGGGTGATTTTAATGCCCGTACAGCGACTACTCCAGATCTGCCCGAAACGTTCAGTGCAGGGGTGCATCCCCTCCATCCCCTCCATCACGCGCGCGAATAGAGATGCCGGCATCAATTCTTGCGGGCGGCGGTTGGCACAGATATGCTATGACACTGGTACCGCAATTGTCAATGGGCGGGTGCCCGGAGACAGGTATGGAGCCCATACGTTTTCTAACTCTGTTGAGTGTCGTAGTTCTATGAACATATGTATTGCATCCTCGAGCATCTAGACACCCTTTAAGTCCTGAATTTGTGGGGTGAGTTGAACGTGTTGCGCGATCATCATCCACTCTTCCTTCGCCTGCACTCAGCCGCGAGGCGTCTCTTCACGTCACCAGCGTCCCTTGCCAGCCACCAACACACATGTTCGGGTGCACCGAAGGGCCGCAGTCACCGATGGAGGGGAACCGTGTGGCGTAGTGGGGGACGGTGGCGTTTTGGAAACACATCGGTAAGGCTCCACTTCTACCCCATTTATGGGTGTGAGTTCACTTTTTGAAGGGCGACCTCTTACCAGACGGAGCGCGGGTCTCCGTCCAATCTCCACGTATCCCTACATCCCCTCACATCTCACCCTCCCTACAAGAGTTGCGACATACATACATACATATGGGCAGACAGCACATAGGTGGAGAGGGGGCCCCGTGCAGAATGAGACCTACAGAAAACGATGCATCCCTCACTTTTCACATGGTCGTACACTTGCAAGAACCCGTCAATCATCATCTTTGTACGGAAACTTCTCATCTCGGTGCTCCTTGAGTTTTTCACGCAGCTCGTAGCAGTCGTCCCCCTTGAGCATGTCAGACAACCAGCGACACTCCACATCCATATTTACCTGTGTGGGGTGGGGTAGGATGGGAGGAATGATATGTGAAGCCCCAAGAAGCAACAGCGAAGTGGGTGGTGGAAAAGGGGATAGGACAGGGCAATTAGCCCGGCGTAGGGTGAGTTGGGTGGGAGGAATAATGAACAAGAGAGATTGGGGAAGGCTTCTTGTCAGCGAGATGAGCCATGTGCGCAGGGCAAGAGATGCAGTAGTAATTTTGGTACCTTCTCAAAGCTTCCTGTGGGAAAACAAAGAGGGAAGCGGAATGTGTGTGTGTTCTGCTGCATCCGGCGGTTCTCAGGTCGGTGGTCGGGAGGGTGGAGGGGCAGACGGCCGGTCAGGAAGAGGGAGAGGAAAACACTCAGCGCATGCACACACATACATACACACACACACACACGAGAGAACACATTTCGAAAGAAGGCGTTGCACCTTTCATTCTTCACTGCCTTCATCCTACATCCTCAAACTTTTTGCATGTGTCTAAATGCATACACGAGCAACAGGTACAGACAAAAACACCTCACTCCGATTGCCCAGTGGCCCCCCACCCCCTGCACAGAGCCAGGCAGTGTTTTTAAAACTTTTTGACCGTGGTAATATTTTAGTGACCTAGTGGGGGTTTTCCTTGGCAACCACCTTACAAATGTTTTCGCCTGCGAGTATGTTGAACGGGAGCCCGATAGAACCGTACATCCGAAGATCAAACTTTGACTCCATGTGCGGCAACGTGTTCCCGAGCCGAGCTCAGTGAAGAATCACTGCCCCCATCCAAGCGTCAAACAACCATTTAGGTGGTCACTACGGGGTATGTGGCCCAATATCCTGGCGACCACCTGAGGTGACTCGAAACATTTCCTAGTGACCACCTTCCGGAAGGGAATTATTTTCTCAGTAACCATTTGGTCACTAGTAACCACTTTTAAAAACACTGGTGCCAGGCCTCCTCCTCCCCACCACCAGACACCACCCGGACCCCCCAAACCCCCCTCGCCACCCACCATCTCCAAGGCCCCCCGCACCAGCCCTGCCAGCACATTGCAGTACTTAAGGTCCCGGTACTCCTCCTGCAGCTCAACGAAGTCAGCCAGGGGATTGTCCGTCAGAATCTGCGGGAAGATCGGATGAGCGGGCCCGAGGGGCCCCCCAGGGAGCGGGGCGTGGTGAGAGGAGGGAACGACCCACATGGCGGCTAGGGTACGGTGGTGTAGGAGAACGCGCTTGAGAAAGTTACTGGCATCTGAAGGACTGCCAGCCCTAGCTATCCAACCTGCGATTGCCCAACCCAGCCCTGTGCACCAGCCGCCACTTCCACAGCCCCAGTGCCATGGTGGGTCTCCACCCCCCACTCTACCCCCCTACCTGTTCAGCGGCAGGCAGGGCCCCGTACGACGATCCCGTTGGCCCAGGCTCCTTCCCAAAGCCCCTACCCCCAACCTTGATAACCCTTCCTTCCCGCGTTTATTGCGGGCCTAAACCACGCAATAGCCCCAGGCTCCTCCCCGCAATAAACGCCTAAACCACGCCATAGCCCCAGGCTCCTTCCCGCAATAAACGCCTAAACCACGCAATAGCCCCAGGCTCCTTCCCGCAATAAACGCCACGCGAACCACACAAACCCTGCTTCCTGCTCGGCACAGCTTCGGTTCCCCTCTTCCCTCCCCCTTCCCACCAGACTACACTCGGTTTGATCCGGGCTCCAGTTGGCCACACTGGCACTGACGTTCAGGAACATGGGGAGAGCCTGCACGGGGGGAGAGGTGTGATTACGTAGTGCGAGACACGGGGGAGCCCTCCCGAGGGGGGGAAAGGCCAGGGGGAACACAGGAGGGGGGAGCCCAGGTCCTATACATTCAAGCCGCCGCCAGTAGTACACGAGTACAAGTCTCAGGTCTTCATTTCGGAAGCCCTCAAACCGCCGACCGACCCTAAGCTCCCTAAAGACGGCGCAGGCCTCGGTCCCTAGCCCCCAAAAGTAATGGTTGTGTTGGGTGGATCATGTTGGGCCACACTGCGCAATGACAGGGTGACCAGTAGCTTCCATGGGTAGTTTGTGCTCATTCGAGTTGGGGAGGTCGTCTCAGACACCGCTCATGACCTTCCTTGGCGGTTCGTTCGGGAGAACCCCTTCACGACTTTCCCGCGCGCGTGATGCGGATGCCTGATCCGCCACTGTCCTGTCCTGTTGCCCCTTGCCGCCCCACCTGCTTGGCAACCATCTCTCCAGTGTCCCGGAAGGACGAGCAGCGAGTGATCTTGGCCTTGGCTAGGAACTCATCCACAAGGCGGATACCCATATTGTAGCCCCTGGAGGAAATAAACGGTGGGAATGTGCGAGGGAAGGATTGGAGGGAAGGGGAAAGGCGGCCAAGAGGAGAAGACGGAGAAACAAGGCAGGGGTATACACGGGCAGCAGTAGAGGAGACGCGAGATTGCAGTAGAGGGGGACGCGGGCGGGGGGGTGCCCTCGCACGAGATTGGTGTGGTGTGGGTTATTTGTGAGTTCGAGCCTGGACTGGGGTACGGAGTCGGCAAGTTGGGAAGGGTCGAAACGTTGCAGGTGGAGAATGGGCTCCTTTTAAGTAACTCAAGGGTTGTAAGGGGAGATGAGCTCCCTGTAAGTAATTTAACCTGCTGCACTAGCACAGTGGTCGAAAAGCTGGCGTGATAATATACTTACATCTGCTCAAACCTCCTCCCCACCTGGCCCTGGGGGGCCGATGATCGGGTCTGCTCGCCTTCCCCTTACCCTCCCTCTCCCTTTTCCCTCCTACCTTTGTGGCCGGCAGACTGAGCATGGCCTTGGCTAGCTCCGCCTCCAGCTTATCGAACACGGGTGACCCCAGGCCCTTAGGGCAGCGGCGGACCACACACGTCACCTCCCCTCCGCAGCTCTCACCCCGGGTGCGGACCTCGTTGATGGCTGCGAATGGCATGACAGGCGGGAGGGGAGGTGGGGGAGGTCGAGGTTGTTGCAGAAGGGGCCGGACGGATCGGCGCGCTAACAGCCCGCCTGACGCGCGCGCCTGCCCCCAGTGGTGTCTGCCCACACGCGGAGGTTAGCAGGCGTCCTTATTCACTGTTAACCTAATGCTCTTAGACAAGGGCGAATGCCCCCCAACCCCCCACTGGGTACGCCATGTGTGGTCACAAGGCACAGGACGCCTTCCCTGCATCAAAACCCACCCCCAGCACCTCATCACCCCCTCAGCCTCCCATCCCTTTCGCCTCCTCCCCCAGCGCCAACCCCCCAGCCCAGCAGCCCCACCATCGATCATCTTCGTGGCCGCCTGCTGGTCCGGGCACCTCACAATGTTGGACTCCACGTCCTCCAAGGTAAAGGAGGCGAGGTCCACGTGTGACTCGATGTCCCGGACTTTGGACACGAAGGCGAGGATCTGACAGCGGGTGGGAGGCAGGCAGGGTCCCGCGGGTCGGCAGGTCGGGGTGCATCATGATGGCGGTCGGGGAGCGGGAACGGTGCGCACGTGGAGGTGGTCTCACTAGTGGTGATGTGATGTGGCGTGATGTGGTGTGCCCAACATGCAAAGGGACCAACGGCGCTACAGCGGCCTCGGTAGAGGAGGGGTCAGGAAGGGGCGAAGTGAAGAGAGAGGTGTGTTCAGAGCCGGCAGCATGCAGGACAGGGAACGGGAGTAAAGGAAGGGCACGCACACATTTGGAACAGGCGGGGGGGGGTGAAGGGGGCCCTGAGGAAGGAAAGCCGGCCAAGGAGGAGACAGGACAGAACCACGTGGGAGCCACGGCTGATTTGACGTGGCAATAGCAGTATAGCATCGCACACGACAGCCGGGAGATTTGGATAAAGCACTAAGAACCCAGATGGGTAGCAGGCAGGGCCGAACGGCCTGCCATGGAAGGAGGCGGGGCGGGAGGGGGTGCACCCGAGGCCGAGCTGGTCTCAGACGTGACGCCGGCCTACCTCGGTATCACCGATGACCTTAAGAAGCTTCTTAGCCACGGCGCCTGCGGCAACCCGGCCAATCGTTTCTCGTGCTGAGCTGCGGCCGCCACCAGCTACCGCGCGGATGCCATACTTGAAGTCATAGGTGGCATCAGCATGGCTTGGCCTGTAAGCCACTGCCATCTCTGAGTAGTCTTGCGACTTCTGGTCCTTGTTGCGGGCCACAATCGCAATTGGGGTCCCGAGCGTGATACCGTCTACCACGCCCGAAAGGATCTCCGCAATGTCATCCTCCTTGCGTGGCGTTGTGATAATGCTTTGACCAGGCTTTCGGCGATCAAGCTCCAGCTGAATTTCATCTTCGGTAATTGGGAGACGTGGCGGCACACCATCGATAACACAGCCAACCCCCTTTCCATGAGACTCGCCAAAGGTTGTCACACGAAAGTTGTTTCCATAGGTGCTACCAGCGGCGTGCACGCTAAGTCGAAGTGTGCGGGAGCAATGGCGAGTGTAGCCGACGCGCGCACGGCGCCCTAGAAGACGTTGAGTAACTTCCATTTTTTAGGGTCACGAATGCCAATAAATTGCGCAGCTGTTGTTTGACATCAACCCTGCTCGTTTGCTCAAAGATCGTTTGTGGAACCACAACGAACTGCGTCGGTTTGGGCTGTAACCGAGGCTAGCTGCTTAGCGATGTGCATTGAAATACAGCAACAGGCGCCTCCGGCGCACTTGAACGACAAACTGATATCTAGTTGTAGGTAGCATACAACGCAAGTCCGGTAGGGCGTAACGTAGTGTTTCCGAAGAATACGCTTTAATATCTTCGTGCGCTAATTGAATAGTACTAATCAAGGGTATGTAATGCTCTGAAAGCCAAAAGGTGGGATTCAATTGGTGACTACCGAACAGCAGCAGATGCCGGCATTAGACCGGCACATCGTCCATATGCATGCCAAGCAGCTTCATGTGTCCTATTCACGTGCTCACTTGAAAGGTTGTCATTATCCCCTGCGTTTATCGCAATTGATTAGGGCAGCCTCCGGGACCTCGGCAATAGCGTTTGTTCCGTACACGACGCACACTTCACACACACCAAATCATGAATTGACTGCTCTCTGCTGACAAGCCCTCATCCGATACCCCCTTCACCCCATCCAGGAGCGTGGCAAATCAATCTGAGGCACAGCGGTGCTGATGACATTATCAGCTGCACTCACCACCATCGCTGCTGCCGCCACTGCCGTCGCGGTCGTCCTAGGCACGCGCCAGCTTCGGCGGCGCATCCGACCCCAGAAGCCCTTCCTGTCCGTGTTCGCTGACACTACCGACCAGCCCTTTCCCCACCTGCCGCCCCAACCGGACGATGACGACGACGACTTCCAGCAGCGTTGTTGTGACTCTGGCTGTAGCAGCGGCGGCAGCGGTGGTGACAACACCGTGGCAGCCTCTACAGCTGCTGCTCCTGGAGCTACAGCCGCAGCGGCCGCCGCACCGCTACCTGAAGCAGCTCCAGGAAGACGTGGAGCTGCTGCGGGTGGCTCCCTACCTGCGGTGCACCCCTACCTGACCCGCATTAAGCGACTTATGGCCTCCACAGAATGCCCCATCCTGCGCCACCCGCCGCAGCCCCCACCGCTTCCACCGCAGATAACGAACCAACCCAAGCCGCCATCCATAGCACCGGCAGCAGCGGCACCACCACCACCACCAGCAGTAGCAGCTGCTGCTCAGGGCTGCTCCACCTCGGGGTCGAGGCCCGCTGCGACCCGTGGGTCAGTCCTCCCAGGTTTCCAGCTCCACTGGGTATCGAGTCCCAAGCAGCTGTACTGGCTGGGTCAGAGGCTGCGGCAGGTAGGCAGGTAGGCAGGTAGGTAGGTAAGTAGGCAGGTAGGTAGGTAAGTAGGCAGGTAGGTAGGTAGGTAGGCAGGTAGGTAGGTAAGCAGGTAGGCAGGTAGGCAGGTAGGTACTGTGTGATGTGGCGCTGCTGTGTGGACACGGGGAACCTGGCCGTGATCTGTACAGCTAATTCTGTCGTATGTTTTTCAAAAGAACTAAAATGATAAAGCTTTGGCGGAGGGAGATGACGGAAAGGGAGACGGGGTGAGGGAGAGGGGAAAGGGGAAACACAAAACACCACTGCGCGTCCCCTTGGTTTAACCCTTTTTCGTGCTTCGGACGTGTCAGCAGTTGACTCAGTGCCTTTTGTATCCCCGGCATCAGCGTATGACTTCCCCTTCCAACTCCTCTGCCCTCCTCCTCCCCCCTTTTCGCCACCCACCGGCAGGAGCGGCAGATCGGTTTGGACACGGAAGCCTCCCCACTGCTATGCTACCACGGCAGGGTGTGCCTCATACAACTATCAGTCTGGGACGACACAGCCTCCCCGTGTGATGGCGGTGATGACGGGGGTAGCAGCGGCTGCAGCAGTGGCAGTGGCGGTAGTGGTGGTGGTGGCGGGCATGTGTGGCTGGTGGACGCTCTGGCACTACGTGGCCATGTGGGCGCTGCATTGGGTGGGCTGATGGCGGACCCACGGGTCGTGAAGGTGAAAGAAATCTGGGCCAGCACGCATCTGTACATCACTTTGCTTTGTACCGCATCATGGGTGGGCCAACCAGATGCACCCGCTGCGTATATGTGCTCCACTTCAAGATACACAACTCCGCTCAACGCCCCCAACCAACACCCCCAACCAACACCCCCAACCAACACCCCCAACCAACACCCCCAACCAACTCAACCGGCAGGCCCTCATCCTTCGCACCTCTTTTCTTCCCCCTCCCGATCCCCCAACCCGACTCCACAATATCTCATCATGCCTTGTACGGCTGTATCCGCGGATCAGCTCACACTGAATATATAGTTTTCCCAAGCCGCCTCCTGCCTTGTATCCTCCTCCTCCCCACCCTCCCCCCGCCATCTTCCTCCCCCTTCCGGTGCAGGTGCTGCATGGCGGAGGTAATGATGTGGTTTGGCTGCAGCGGGACTTCCGCGTGTACCTGGTCAATGTGTTTGACACGGAGAAGGCCAGCCAGGCGAGTGGGGGCCGGGGGGAGGGGGCCGGGGGAAGGGGGCATCCGGAGGTCGTTTTGCACCAACAGTACCCGTGCGACTGGTGTGACCAGTGGCGGAGTGTGAGATGTCGTGGAAGGGTGCATTACGTCAGGAAGATGAGTCGGATGACTAGAGGACAGCTTCAACGAGGACGAAGCTCTGTGTGCCTTTGTGCTTGTTGTGCCGTACGAAACTCTTTGTGGCGGCTCTTGTCGACCTGTATGTGAAAGTGATGGGGTTCGCTGGGGCAAGGCTCCCACACTGCCGCTGCTGCTGCAGCTCCTGCCATCGCTCCTATTGCTGCTGCCGGGGAATCCTTTCGAAGCTCACATGTGTGGCCCTGCTTGTTTTTGGTTGTTTTTGAAGGTACTGGGCTACGAGAATCGTGCCCTGGCCTCCCTGCTATCGCGCATTGTGGGCCTGGATGTGGGGGCCGAGAAGGCGGCGGGGCAGCGGGCCGACTGGAGGAGGCGGCCGCTGCCACCGGCACTGTTGCGCTACGCTGCAGCTGACGTGGCGTATTTGCCGTACCTTGCTGACGTACTTCGCAGGGAGCTGGCGGCGCTAGGACCCACCCGGTGGGCCGTGTGTGTGTTTATGTGTTTGGGGGGGAAGGGTTATTGGAAAAGAAAAACCCCCAAAAGCCCGGGGCTGGCCACGGTGGTAGAGCGGGGAAGATGTGAAGACAGTGCTGCAGTGATGACTTTGAGCTGCTTTGCAGCCAGCCGACCAACTCACCGGCGGTTTCTGTTACAGTGCACCGAACCGCTCCTCCACCTGCCCCCTTGTCACCATTCCACCTGTCCCCTCCCCCTCCCCCTCCTCCTCCTCCTCCCCCTCCTCCTCAATACACCTGCGCCCCCGCTACCGCCCTGCCAGGACGGGACTGGCCTAATCCCCCTCCTCCTCCTCGCCCGGCTGACCCGGTACTGGGCCACCGGACACCCGCTGCTGGGGAAGAACCCCCTCAGCGGCCAGGAACCCGCCACGTGGCTGCTCCGCTGGTGGGGCCGCCGCCGCAGCAGCTGCAGCAGCAGCAGCAGCAGCAGCAGCAGGACATGTGCGGCAGGGCACCAACCCAGGGAGGACCAGTAGCTGCAGCGGGAGCAGCAGCAGGCCCCAGACCCATGTGTACGGCACTGGGACAAGCGGTGCTCCGAAGCCATCAGCTGAGTCTCACGCTATACAAGAAGCCGCTGTCGGATGCGGCGGTAGCGACGGGCAGCGCTGCCCCCGCCGGCACTGCCACGACTGCCGCCGCTGCCGTACTGCGCAAGTTCTTTTCTGCTGCA